ACCAGTCGATGTAAGCGTCCGCAAAGGGCGGATTGGCGCAGGCTGAGATGTGTGAGGGGATGTGCAACTCCCTGATAAGACAGGAATCAGGGTACGAGCGTTAAGACCCCGACACCCTTCTCAGCAGCTCAAGGGGCCAGTACACGGTTTGATACGCTTCGTACATGGCTGTATTTGTGCAGCCAGGCAGCCGTGCCCGCGTTTGAGTTTGGATCATCGCTGTGCTCCGGCGTAGGTGCGGGCTCGTCCAGCTCAGCAATTCTCAAGATGCGCGGACAGGCACGGACAACAGTCCTTTTTCAGCAGAGATACGGATTCCCAGAGTAGTCAACGAGCGGTTGCCCTGGCTCGACAATCTTGACGGAGCAAGCACTGTGAGCAGAGACGGATTTGATGGAGCGTCGTTGCGGACGCGAGAGGAGGCGGGCGTGCATAACTTCAGCTAGAGTATAAACACACTATTTTAGGATGTACGTACTGAAACAGCAACGATCGCCGGCTGAGTGAGCGGCAGGAACGGTCCATGAGTACTCCATGGCTGGACGCCCAAGATCCAGCCAGTTCTCACAGGGAATCCCAGCCGGCTGAACCAACATTGTTTCACGGCCTACTCCAGCCCCAGTCAGCGGGTACATCCTGGCGCTGGACACCAGAACCGGTATGGCGTGAGAGTCAAGCGGGTGTTGTGGGGGCATGAAGGCTTAGTGGGGCTCCAGGAAGTCGCCCTTGAGCAGTATCCAAAGATTCTGAAAGTCATGGTGTGCGTTAGGTAGTCAGCTAGGGCCGAAAGAGACGAAAAGAGCATCCGAATCGCGCAGAACGGCTATACATGCTGGTTGCCCTGTGGTGTCATGATCAGGGCTCTTGAGAGAAACTGTTCACAAGCGCGCAGGATAGCAGGTTTGAGGGACAGGTGACGGAGGCGCTCGGCACATCATTTTCATAAGCCAAGTGATCGTAAGATGAAGATAGCCTCCCTGTGGTTTCGGGCTGACGCGAAGAAGTTACGGAAGTCGCCCAGGTGAGGGTGGCTGTTGAAGTCGACACAAAATAAGACAACGGAAACGTTGCTCGGCCCGGTTCGGCCCGAGCCGCAGAAGCACAACCGAGACACTTCTCATCGCGAACCACCATCGTCGCGGTATACAGATTTTGTCTGCAATATGTCTAGCGCCCACTTTGACTTTGGCATATGCTATTTGTTAAGCCTGTCAGGAATCTTGTGCGGCTGGCCCTGCTTCTTGAATCCTTAATCGCTCACAGGCTCCTTCAATCAGCGCAGCTGCTAGTCACCAAAGATGCCATTCACACTTACCCGATCTTTGTGAAACCACTGTCATTGTGTTCTCCTTTTGAACTCGATACCTGAGAGAGATCGGCGGAGGCGGCGTGACGCGTCGTCGCAGCAGCTTTTCAGTCCATTTTGAGCCTGTCAAGCGGCGATTACTTGATTCGTACGGCGGTCTGGAATGATCTTGGTACCGCGAACATTCAATGCCTGTATGTACTAACCTAGCATATTGGCTTACTTCTAAGAACGGTTCCTGTGGAGGACACGTGCAGGCTGCAGCGTTGCCAGCTGCCAAAGAAGAGGGCTGCCAGTGCGCCTAGACGCAACTGAGTCCTCGTATCCCGACGCTCGCGAGAACAATCTCCGAGTCGTAAATAGCCAAAGCGGGGTGAAATCTTGGAGGAGTTCGCGCTGTCGCTATTACTGTTACACTGTCTCGAGATATTGCAACTGAGTCTCGACATTGACGGTGTGGCGTAAGCCGCTGTAGGGTTAAAGGTCTAGGAGCACGTCGAACACGAGTGAACGGAGCATGCAACAACTGATACACAGAGACATGACGATATAAGATTACACGGATACGTCTACGACATGCACCTGCATACCACAGCAAATATAATCATCGATACGTTCAACGATCAAACCTTGATAGCCTCCCTCAGCTCCTCAAACTCACTCTCATCAAGCCCATGTATCTCTCCATCTCTCTTCTCCCCCGTCCTCTCAAAGAACTCCCTCAACCTGCCCTTATCCTCCTCGTCTATCTCTCCCTTATGCACCACTACAAAAGTATACAACACTCTCACGATCTTCTCATCCAAGTCCACATCGCCCTCCGTCTCCCCGTCCGGTCCGTGCGGCGACGGGCTCACTAAAGCAGATACCAATGCCCCGAGAATCCCGTACTCCGTCATAGCTTGCAAGGCCTTATCCGCCGTTTCCGTACTTTTCGGATCAGCAAGCATAGAAGCGTGCGTATTAGCATGTACAGGCGCCTGCGCCCGAGCCGTCATAGGATCATTATGATTCAAATGCGACACGACGTCACCCAGTCTACCACCACCCACCGTTCCGTCACTATTCCATGGCGTGTCCGCGTGTGGTGCGGCAGGAGGCGACAAGAGCAGGGTGAAGAGAAACGTGGTCTTGCGTCGGACGGAGATGTCACTGTCGGATAGGGCATCTTTGAATGTTTGCCAGCCGTTTGGGGTGGAGAATGAGAGAGAGGAGACTGCTGGGGCATTATGTGTCAACAAGCCGCAGAGGGCGTAGACAGACTTGGACCGGAGGGAGGAGGAGCGAGCAGATTTGGGGTGCAGAAAGGCGAGGAGGCCTGGTATAGGGTTCAGAGCGAGGTACTGGTAGATATATTTGTACTAATTAGTTGTATGTAACGTCAAGCGATAGGTTATACGAGACGTACAGCGTGTTGCGCCTTCGGATTATTCTGCACAGCTGTTCCCGCTACCCATACAGCTTGCGTCTTGATCGCGTCGGACGGGGATGAAGAGATGAGATCGTGTATGGGTGTCCACATCCCCAGCTGCTCTAGATCTACCCCAATATTAGCATGCTTCGTCTGATATATCGCAAGTAGCACCTACTGCTGGCATTGTCAATCGGCTCGACCAACTACACAGGCCCATCTATCAGAACCCTTAAACCCTCAAACCGACGAACGTACATACCATCTCAAGATCATCCAAAGCCTCCACCCTCGTGTCTTCATCCAAGCTCTCGTCTCTCGCCCTAGCTAAAGCTTCCTGCATAAGCACCACATCGGGTTTACCGAGGATCGCGTCAACTATTCCTGGGTCGAGGTCTCGGCGTAGGGCCGTTGGAGGTGCTTCTGTGGGTGCGTCGGACGAGGAGGAGGTGGTGTTGGTGATAGCCCAATGGAGGAGGGAGTCCATGCTTGCTAGAATGAAAGGACAGGCGAGTCACTTAGACCTGGTGAGCTGGGAGAGGGAAGTAGAGACATGGTTCTGATGCGAGAGCTTCATGAGAATGCGGGCCCTTCGAGCGCTCCGAGTCCGACGCGACGCTCACATGCCAGAACGCGTCGCACAGAGTTACGAACTTTCAAGCTATACAGCACCAATATCATTGATCTGATGCACAGGCTATCAAACACATATCGGTGCTCAACAAATAACACCTTCAAGGACCTTCATCGAAGTTGAACCAAAGCTGGTTTCGCGACGCGCGGATGCTGCGCGACTCGCGGCGTCGTCGGCCCGGAGCACGATATGGCGCGGTGAGCGCGAATTCTTTCTTGTTTCCTACCCCCACTGATGGCCATGTTGTTATGCTTATGCAGGACTTCGCGACTCGCAGCCTGATCACATTGAACAGCGCGGCGCTGGGCTTATGACTTCGAGTTCAAGCTACATCGCTCGAAACCACACCATATTCAACACTCTCGTTGGCTCGCGTACTGCATACGCAGCGCCCTTCCCAATCTACAGAGCTCCCTAAGCCCGAAGCCCAAGAAGCTTCCTATAGTGTGCTCTAAACACGACATTCCCGTTTTGGCTCATACCATACGGTGACAATCACACCCTCGAAGTCGTGTTCCATGAAATTCCGGATGTACTCAACGGTGCCGGTATGACAGCACGGACAAATAATGTAGTCGATTCTTCGTCGCCCAGTACGGGCCCGCAAACAGTGGCGCGTAGTCAATATGGACTGGGCCGCCTGGAGAGACTCGTTGGGGACTCGTTTTGTAGCTCATTCACCGACACTGATGTTCTCACTCGTAAAACCAGCAGCTGCAATCTCTCGTGTACCTGGTCCGCTTTCTGAAAGAAGAATCTAGAAGAGCTGTGTACTCAAGATGCGACTCAACAAGTACAAAGAGAGTTCAGATATGGGCAACATCTAGAAGCGCGCCATTTGTAGGGAGACGACAAAACGAGGGTGAATCACGCCCTGACGGCGGATTGAAGTCTACAGATGGCTATCAGCACCCGTTTTATGCGCAGAAGCCCCTCACGACGTACGACTTTGACATAGACAGATTGGGGACCTTGCATCTAAGGACGTCTAAACTATGATGCAGGCGACGCTAGAGGTGGGCGCAGTCCCAGTGCGCGCCTCAGCATCGACAGGGAGTTCCAAGTTTTCGGCCGACTGGGAGCTCCGGGGCTCAGCAGTGGGCGAAAAGAGGCCGAGGATAGTACTGAAGGCGTCCATTTGGGATAGAGCAAGGTGGGTGGGTAGGGCGGTAGAAGTTCCACTCGAGCGGCGCTGGTTTGAGTGAGTTTGGTGCTGGGTTAGTAGTCGCGGTGGTGAAAGCGTTTATATAGAGTCCATAGAACGCGGTACGTATCGCTTGTAAAAGTCAGTGTATCCGCTTTCGAAGATATTTCCGCTACGTGCCCCTTGACCGCGAAGACCTAGCGCGCGCGCGCGACGACGACGGGTAAGAAGGGCTTTTTTGACATCTGCCCGAGCGGATTGTACCATGGAGCATGATGAGCGCGCAACACGCGATACCTTCTCTAAAGGCAGTAACAGTCCCTAACACACGCAAGCAAGAGCATACAGAAGTGGGTGTCACGGTCCTCAGCCTCCAAACCCGAAGTCAGAAGAGGTAAAAGCAGGGAGTAAGCGTTTTGTGAGACGGAGCACGACGCGAGCGGCGAAGTTGCTTGGTTAGCGTAAAAAGGAATGAAATGAAAAGGAACTGTATGAGATGAGTGAGTGGACACATCCGGAATTGAACCGGACACCTCCCGCATTTTGCGCCATTCCGAAGAACATGCTAAGCGGGCGTGATAAACCAACTACACCATGTGCCCATGGACAATCTTTCCATTCAAGTATATAAGTTCAATTATCTTTCTGTCGGCTCAAATGAGATATGGAGCAAACTACAGCCCCATATTGTCAAAGCATCACAAAATACAAGTATCCTCTCCTACTAGATACTTCAAACAAGCACATCCCACATCCCCAACCCCGCGAACAACGCTCCCAGACCCAGCACGAGCCCCGCGTACGCAGCAACATGGGCCCCGACCTTCCTCAACAGCGGCGGAGCATGCAACGTAGCCAACGCGGCATGCGCCACGCATACCGTCGTAAACGCCAACCAAAAGGGTGCGACGGATTGCGTAGGCGGTAACGTGTGTAGGGTGGCGATGGACGAAGCGTAAGGCGAGCTCAACCACGCGGCGCTCATGACGAGTATGAACCCCACAAGTAACGCCAGACTAGCCACCCTCAATACGCAAGTGACAAACACGGGTATGCTGATCAAATGGACCCCATATAACTCCTCGAGGTCTTCACGAGCTTTGAGGTTGACCAACGCGTCCAGATCTTGTTCGAGCTCGAGCGTCGAGTTTGCACGCGAGTGGTGAGGACGTTGAGTTGAGTGTTCGGGCGAGATGGATTGTTGGTGAGAGTAAGAATGAGATGGCGCTTTAGATCGCGCGCGACCGCGTAACCAAGCCGCTACGATTCTTCGAGCTTCGTTCGGCTTGACCATCACGCCCTTATATAGCGCCAATTGCGAGTATCCTTGACATACACCAGCAACGGCGTCCGCTCCCGCACATCCCAGCGCAAACGCCCAAACGTGTGCAAATGCTAGTGTACGATATGTCGTTCCTCCGATCGGCGCTGTGAGCTCGAGGATGGGCAGTGCGGCTACACGTAGGGCATTGCGCAGGATTGCGTGGGTTGAGGCTGAGAGGGCCGTCGATAGGCCTGTTGGAAGGGGTAATAGGGAGAAGAGTTGGTATAAGGGCGGCGCGAGGACGTAAGAGAGCGACCAGAGGGATGCGCCGAGGAGGAGTTCGGGCATAGGGAAAGGCGAGCTCGGCGTCGGGGTATGGAGGAATAGCGGGATCGGTGCGAGTAGACCCAGAAATATTATGCATGTCAGAGGGACAAAGGCGTAGAGAAGGGCATGGTCCCTGTAGTTTCCTGCCCCAAAGTATCAGGTTGTGTGCAATATAAGTAACAGGATATAAGCATACCGACATATAAACCAGCTTCTTCCAACAAATTCTCGACAGTTTCGTCGTCAAGCACAACTTCTCCCTCTGAATCCTGTCTCCTCAGCGCCTCGGGGCTGTGAAAGCGCGAGTGTGTCGCGCCATAAGACGCCGTCGAACCAGAAGGTTGAGGTAACAACGGTCTCCGGCTACTCGACGCAGATGCTTCGGGCGCTTCGAGTTCTTCTGCAGCGACTTTATACGCCGCTGCAGCGAGCGCCAGTTTACCGAGGCCCATGGCGGAATGGGAGGGTGGGGGTCGGAGGCAAACTCGGACGAGGATGATGGAGAAGCCGATCACGAATTCAAAGCAAGGCTAACTCGCACGTTGAGCTCAGCCTTGGTCGTGAAGACGCCATCGTGACTGTTAATTGGGCTAGACTCCTCTACAACTGGTGAACTCTATGGTCAGAAGCAAGTTCGGACTGTAGGACGCGGTCACGTTTACGTCTGTTCAGTCGACCATGGCATTTGACCCCGGCCGTTCGGTCCGAACAGCTGTCGGAGAAAAGCGCGCGTTCAAACAATGTTCAACTCAGTAGCGACCTGCCACCATGGTCTGGTCGCTACGTCTTGATTAAGTGTATTCCGGCATACTATCTTATATCTTGTGGGTGCACAGCACGCTCTCTGCTTAGCTGCTTGTCATACCATAGGACCGAGAACCCCGAGTTCCAATGTTTCTCTTTCACCACCACTAGTCTCCTGCTAGTCTCCCGTCTTGCCATCCGCTTAGAAATAAGTCACTTTTCGCTCAGCACTCTCGGTCACTCACGACATCACGCTCTAAGGACGCGATGAATCATGTTGTTTTGCCGCTAACGTTCGAACCGGACTCCGACGTCGAGGAAGCCGAGGACTACCAGCTCGGCGGGTTCCACCCCATCGCCATCGGCGACTGCTTTTGCGAGGGGCGCTACAAAGTTATGCACAAACTGGGCTTTGGCGGATCGTCTACAGTATGGCTGGCGCGCGACAGATATGGAGCAAAACCACTCGTCGCTCTCAAAGCTCTACGTGCGGACGCTTCACCTGCATGTACGGACGAGCTATCCTCGCTGGCCATCCCCAAGATGCTTCAAACAGTCCTCCCTTCCTCAATAAATATTGTCACCATTGAAGATTATTTCTTCGTACAAGGTCCGAACGGCTCTCACATGTTTCTCGTTTCCCCGCTCGCGGGTCCTCCCGTTGTTTCTATGTCGTGTTGTCCGGGACGGGCTGCTGGTAGCCGCCGGTTACGCGCAGACTTGGCGCGGAAGGCGGCGAAGCAAACTGCGATGGCAATATATCACATGCATCGAGCAGGTGTGGTTCACGGAGGTAAGAAAGTCAAGCCTCCAGCTTCTCGGAAGTTGCTCAACGACAGACATCGACACGCAGACCTCACAACATCCAACGTCTTGTTCTCCCTCTCGCCGTACGTCCTTCGATGGTCTGACCAGGAGCTGTACACGAATCTGGGCGAACCCAAGACCACGCTGGTCCCGACTTACGACGGAACACCCAACTCTCCCCAAACACAATCCGCTCGCGTCGTGCCCATTGCCAATTCGAGACTAACCAATGCTTCGTTCCTTCAGGAGAGCGTCGTTCTCGGCGACTTTGGCCAATCGTACGCCGTCGCGTCTCCGCCTAGTGACTACGAGCCTGGGACCGTCATCCATTACTTTTCGCCCGAGGCTCGTTTCGAGAATCGTGCGGGCTTAGAGGCGGACGTATGGGCATTAGGATGCACGATCTTCGAGATGCGTGCGGGGTTCCCGCTCTTTGAGGTGTTTTTCGGTAGCGACATTGAGGTCCTCGTAGAGATTGTTTCAGTGCTAGGACGACTTCCTGACCCGTGGTGGAGCGCGTTCGAAGAGCACAGTAAATGGTTCGAGGAGAACGGCGAGCCGCGGAGTCAGCAACGGATGGGTCTCATTCAGGCGCGCAAGACGTCTATTCGAGAGCTGATACGCTCGATAGGTGTGGGGGAGGAGAGACCGACATATGCGCTTGATGGACCGATGATTGAGAAGTTTGGAGTCAGGGTGGATGAGAGGGAGGTCGAGTTGCTGGGGGATCTTTTGGAAAAGATGATGAGGTATCGCCCTGAAGAGAGGATCAAGATGGAAGAGGTTATTGCTCATCTATGGTTTGCGTTCACGGATAGCGCATTGTAGTTCACGCCTCATTTATGGGGCGGGGATTAATATCATGTATGCAAACCACTGTTGAAGAATTGTACGCGCTATGATACGTGAAGCCTGAGAGTATCTGACGAACCGGGTCACATATGTTGGGAGGTGCATGTCAACAACACACGAGTGCAATATTTTCCGCGCTCATATGGGGAGCATGGGTACCCTGACTGAAGCACATAGGCCGATGCAAATAGGGGTCGCGGGGATTGCCGGTTTGTGGCGAAGAAGGCGACGGGGATGCTCGCTCTTCACCACCACCACCATATTTAAGTTCGTCATGACTAGACCCTCGACACATGAATACACGCTTCTTCCTCTTTACTCCTCCTCACCAACATCCTCGGCTTCTCCTCCTCCGTACGCGCATGGTATAGCTCAGGCAGAAAACATTGGACTGCACAGTGATCCAGTCAAAGACGACGGTATGAGACCCACCCTGTTGCACCTCGTGAGAATGCTAAACATATTCCCTACACAGCTAGCATACCCGGCACTCTGGGATTGATTAACTCGCGAGGCGAAGCTTCAGGCAACGCGCAAGGCAGTACGCCGACCGACGCTGCAGCTGGTACAGCAGCCAGCTTACCGATCGAAGCACGCCTTTCCCGCATGACTTTTCGAGCACCTCGCGCCCGGCACCCGCGTAGCTTGAGTCTGTGGCGTTGTGGGCAGGGGTCGTGCTGCTGGCCATTATGCGGTTTGCAGAATGGTTGGATGCAATGTGGTAATACAAGAGTGTGCGCGCTGCCTTGATCATTATGGCTATATACACTTTCGGTCGATTGTTGGATGGCTACACTTCGCAACTCGTGTCGCTAGTAGTGTATGTCATGATGCATCTTACGGTCTTCTCGTAGACTGACGAGCCACGCGTGCCGCTGCTGAGGATGCGTGTTCAGTGAAGTGCGGAATCTCGGCCCGTTGACCGAGTTCTAGTGGCACATGCAGCATGGGCTTGTCTTTCGCCACCACTATCGACTCGCCTTGTCTCCCTCTTCACGCACAAAGTCCGAAATCTTCCCCTTATATGCTGTCTGAAATGCATAGCGCCATTGAAGAGTATGCTACCGACAACGAGGATAGCTCCGTCGAAGACGATCTCGAGTTCACGTCCGCACTGCATGATTCCGTCGAAGACGCCGAGCATTACCAGCTCGGCGGGCTTCACCCCATAGCCATCGGTGACTGCTTTTCTCAAGGGCGCTATAAGATCTTGCACAAACTGGGTCATGGAGGATCGTCTACAGTGTGGCTCGCACGCGACAGAGAGGGAGCAGATCCACTCGTTGCTCTCAAAGCTATGCGTGCAGACGCGTCCTCCGAGCATACAGAAGAGATATCCTCACTGTACGTCCCGAAGATGCTTCGAGCAGCCCTCCCTCCCTCTGCCAGCATAATGACCGTCGAAGATCATTTCTTCGTACACGGCCCGAATGGCTCGCACCTTTTTCTCGTATCACCACTTGCTGGACCAACTATTGCTTCAATGTCGCGTCGTCCGGGACGGGCTTCTGGTATCAGGCGTTTACGTGCGAGCTTGGCGTGGAAGGTGGCGAAGCAGACCGCCATGGCGCTCTATCGCATGCACCGTGCAGGTGTGGTTCACGGAGG